ACTTGAGCAAAACACATCCAGACTCCAGCAATAGGTAGAAAATTTTTAACTGCTAGGGGGGAGAGAGTGATTTTTAGACAAGATTCTAGTGCCAGTTGAACCGAGGAGTGCCACCACCTGCCATGACGAGTATACCCGGATTCCTCACACGTGTCTTCTCGCCAAACACCGAACGGACAGGCCGTGGTACCACTGTACCAGTAGAGACTGTACATTCCGACGCATCCAGCGCTGGAGCCAGCAGAGCCTCTAGCCGGTCTCGTCATTCTCATTTGACGAGAACAGCGTCAGCAGCGCCCATGTCTCGCCCGGCGAAGTATCGCCAGATTCAAACCAGATCTGCCGAAAGTGATGGCGACGACGAGGATCAAGATTTCAATTCCGACCATGATGCAACATTGTCAGATGGAGGACCCAGCAGAAACCCAAGAGGACCAACGCCAGACACAGAGCCAGAAGACACCGCACCAGAAGACACAGAGGCAGAAGCCGAAGAGTCGGCAGAAGAAGAGGAAAGAGAGGTCCCACTCAATGCATGGGTCCATCTCACTCATGAACATTGCCGGGCCGTATGCAAAGGACCGACCTCCAATAGTAAGAAGGACCGGATTATCTGTGGAAAACTCAAGACCAAGTGCCGCCTGCACCGCGTCTTGAGAGAAGAAGGACATCGTGCCAAACCTATGTGGTATGAGGGAATTGTCTCCACCAAGGACAAGAACACCAACACTGGGGATTACATCATCCATGGTCGACAGGATGGTTTCAGCCGATCTGAAGAGAGAATGGACGAAAGCCTCAACCGGGCAACAGGATTAGACGACGAGGAGTCTCCTTCTGAAGATGAAGAGGGACCCGAGGACACTGACCGCGAAGAAACAGACTTCGAAGCAACAGATTTTGAAGCCAGTGAGGGAGAGACAGAAGGCCACCTCAACGAGGATCCCGAGGCCGATGCGCTCCAAGAGCTTAACGATAAGATCGCTCTGATGGAAAGAGAGACCCAACTGTTGAGGCTGAAGGCGGAACGTGCTAAACTAGAAGCGGAGTCGCCCAAGAAGAAACCGGCCCGCAAAGGAAAGCAGGCCACTCCCAGCAAGAAGAAGGCTCGAGCAACAGGCCGCAAACAGACCCCAATCGCCAGAAAGAAGAAGTTGAGGAAGAACAAGCCTCCTCCTAAACAAGTGTCTATCGAAGAGGGCAACAACACTTCCAAATCCCCTTCCAAGCCAACTGCCGCCACCGCGAGAAAGTTGGACCCAGAACTGTCAGCCACCACCACTACCGCACCATCTGTCCTCGACACAGTTCTAATGAAGATCCAACCATTCTTCGTCAAGCTCCAGGAATCCACAGAGAAGATGGATCGCATGATGGAGCAGCAGGCCCTACAAGAGAACCAAACCCCTTCCACTACTGGAACTCCTAATATGATTCCCATGGGATCTACCAATCTACCTGCCGCCAACGGCCACTACGATGCCAGGACAATCGAGAGAAACGGACCAGCTCCTCCCACTCTGCCTACCCAAACACCACCAGCAGTAATTACACCGACCAGACCTACTACCTATCAAGGGCCCATTCCTACCTACCAACAAGATGGGTCCAAGGGTGACAGTGACAAGATCCATGAGATCGAAATCACCAGTGTTGAGATTGATAAGGCAATGATGCCGGAGGCCATGACCAAAAATGCGGAGATCAACGGAACCTATGATAGAGCGGATGATATTGCGGCGTTACCAGGTAAGACTTCGCCCGGTGGAGGAGACAGTGAAAGTGGTAGCGGAGTTAGCGAAGATGTGCTGACTCGACTTGCGGAGACTTTGGGCTCCGACAACTCCAAGATTACAATGCTTGATTCGGGATATGGTAGACGCAACCGTCATGGATTGGGTCTGATCACCTCCGAAGACACCCTCCTGGACGCCTACAAGCAGTGCTACAAGAAAGAGGAAGTCCTCTTCAAGAACTACCGGTTCAGAATGATGCACTACCTCGGTCGCCTTGGATACACGTCGTCCTTCATTGACGACTACCTTGAAAGGGGCCTACTCCCAAGGATTATCAGGGAGTCCTTCCTCAACTACACTGCCCTGATCGGCAAGATCATGTTCAAATGGAACGCCACAGCGGATCCATGGGAAGACTCCGAAGCCTTGGTCATCCTAAAGGTCCACTCTTCAAATCTACTGGACATTCGGACCAACTGCAACTCCAAGAAGATGCTCCTGCTTCAGAACTATGCCTATCTTCGTGATGCCAAGAAGAAGGGCTTTGTCAACGACACCATCACTGAGAAGAATTTTGAACGCCAAGACCGAAGAAACCAACGACTACGCGATGAGCTCGAAGCAGTCAAGGCTATCAAAGGAGGCCCCAAAGAAGGCAGAGGCAACCCACATAAGGACCAAGACCCTTCACCAAAGAAATGCTCCCACTGCAAAAACCGCGACCTACACATTGCCGCTGGACTAGAGCACATCAAGACTGTTTGTCCCCTGAAGGACCAAGCCGGATCTTGGGCCAAGGCTGCAGCTGGAAAGGTAGCAGCCAAATATTCGAACGACAACAAGGGCGAGAAAACGCGTCCTATGGAAGAAGTTATCAAGGAGGTGTCCGAGAGTTGGGCAAAGTCCTAGGCCTATTCGCCAAACACCAAAGCCGGAGATGCTACCCTTGTAGTAGACTCTGGGACCCATCGCCAGAGATGCTACCCCAGTAGCGGACTCTGGAGCCCCCCTACCGGAGATGCTGATTCTTGAAGCAGACTCTGGACCCCATCAAAATGCACATCACACATCGGAACCACCCCTGAAGCAACCAACATCACACTACGAGCTGCGCTCCGAAACCCAACCGCCACTACCATCACTTCACTCGTGACAAGTCGTCATATTATTTAATCTGTTATAACTGACTTTTGTTCGTACCTTTATCTGAACTTTCGAAGGTGAGAAACAATTTGTCTGCGAGGAAGAAGAAAGCGTGACTGTGGGGGTGGAAATTCGAAGGGTAGCTACTGTGGGAGCGATCGGGATTGAGAACATGGGAATTATTGGAAGTGGATGTGAAGTCATGCGATATGCATGGCCCAAGATGACTGTATCCTTCTCCATCCGAGAGAATGGTGAGACGGTACCGTCAGACTTGGAAGACCCACCGGTAGTGCTCTTCGGACCCCACCGATCTTGGAAAGGGCTCCTAAACACTTACCCAGTGGATTTGTTGGTGATCGAGCGGGGTAACTACAAGCAACCCAGTGGTAGCCCCCGTCGAGAACCATGGGAGGACATGGTGGAGTCCGTGCCTCCCGAAAAGCGGCCAAAACTTGTCATTGAATGTTGGCGCTCTGATCCAACTCTATGGCAATATGGCCCAACCAGCAAGGCAACCACCACCAGATGGAGAGACATTGGCTACTACGTCAATTGCCGAACTATCAACGCAACTTCCATCGGTGGAGCCATCAACCAAGAGAGACTCCTAGTGGCCCGCACTCGAGCTGACATTGGAGCACAATGGGTGTGGGACAACCTGGACAGAGACCTAGCTGTGATTAGACCCATGGGGAATCTACTCACGCCACCCGGTTTGGTACCCAGGAGCTCCTACTCTAACAACGGCACCAACCACACCCCGTATTCACTACACGACCCTATGCCCAACCAAATAGGAGCATACATTCGCACTGAAAAAGGGGTTCGGAGACTTTTGAAGGAGGAAATGGCAAGAGGGCTTGGAATACCGAAAGGCCCAGAAATGAACTTGTCCAAGAAAAGCTTGCAACGAACAACATCGTTGTTCCATTGGGAATACCTATCGCATTCCCTCCAACATCTGTTCCCCATGCCTGCTTTGGAATCAAGACCTACGCCGGCTGAGGACGGATCCAGCAACGAGTCTTCATCACCTGCTGGACCCACGACCTGCAAGGAGTTTGGCTGGGTTCCCGCAGATCTATCTCCAGGAGGGACTTGGCACCAGCAACGCATATCCAACCTCCGATGGGCTTCAGAGCACTATCCAGAGCCCAAGGACATCTTTGACGATGGCCTTCATCGGTTGGCTGTGCATCGACAGAACTACGACCAAGACGGACCTTCCCCAAAATGGCTTCAACTGCTATGGTGGGAATTCCCATCTGAGCACTGGGAGGAACTCCGAACAGGCGCTAGACAGAATTTTTTGGAGAGACCGGAGCCCCACATTCGACCGAATGCCCCAATGGATGAAGAGATGTTGGAAGCCGCCGTCCAGTTTGTGGATGAACTTGTTGAACTTGGAGTACTGAGACACATTGATGAGGGCCTCAAAGTCCTCACCAATGCGCCACTTTTTGTGGTCGGCAAAGACGGACAGCCTGGCGAGTGGAGAGTCATTGCGGACATGCTACGCGGTGGCCAGAACGATTGTGTGGGACAAGATCCGGTCTTCATGCCAAGGATTGCCCACATCGTCGACCAAATGTACACTGGCGGATTCTCTGCAGTTGTGGACTTGTCCAAGTTCTTCTACAACTTTCCAACACACCCAGAAGACCGGCCATATCTTGGTCTTCTACACCCAAAAACCGAGGAGCTGTTGACATACTACGGGCTTGCAATGGGAGCCGGAAACAGCCCTGCCATTGCATGCCGAATTGGATTGGCCTTTGTGCGTTTGGTGAAAGAAAAGTTTGATGTCTTCCAAGGAGAAGCCAAGGCTAACTGCTACTGGACCGGCTTCCAGAACAACGGATTCGACCCGAAACTTGGATACGGATTCATTCTTACTTCGGCCGATGGAGGAGCTGTGCACATCTGGGTTTGGGTTGATGATTTCCTTATTCATGGACCCTCCCATGAGAAGACCACTCGAGCTCTGGCATTCTTCCTTGACACAGCCGTTGACTGTGGTTTCCTTTTCCACCCAAAGAAATTGGTTCCACCTCAACAAGTGGTCAAATACTGTGGCTTCTTGTTCGACACTACCGACATTCCATGCCTACGAATCCCGGAATCCAAAAAGGACCGAGCCCTGGCCATCTGCGAATACCTACTCCAGTCACCAACTCACAAGAAGTGGTCACGATTGAGTCTTGCTGTTGCGGTGGGAGTTCTTGAGTCACTGACCGAAGCAACACCCCGTCGGCTTGGCCACACCCATCTGAAGGAATTTCACACACTAGTCCACCCACCTGGACTTGGGATCGGCGCGGAGCCTTACTACACAACGACATGCCTCAATTCCCGAGTACTTGATGAACTAAAGTGGTGGAAACAGTTCCTACTACGGAGTGAAGGGAGATTTGTCAGAGGATGGGAAGCAGCTACCCTTGTCCCAACCTTTGGTGATGGTAGCGGCACTGGCACCGGTGGGACCCTCCAACTACCTAACTGTGACTTTGAAATGTGGCGCGGGAAATGGAAACCGGCGGTCTACATTTTTGCCTCCGTTTGGAAAGAACTGGCGACACTGAAAGAGACCCTTCTTCGGATCAAAGAGAGCCCCCAAGCCCACCTCGTCATTGGCACGACCGTCTTCTACTTCACTGACAACTCTGGAGTATATTGGATTGCTACTACGGGCTCCTCCAAGCGGCGAGATCTTCACCAGCTGCTCAGCGAGATCCGACTGTTGGAACTTGATCTTCAATGTGTCCTCCAGGTGGTACACGTCCCAGGCCGAGTTTTGATCACGCAGGGCACTGATGGACTTAGCCGAGGCGTTTGGATGTCAACTCTACAAGACATCATGGACTCAGATCGACTGACACAAGCAATCTTCGATCCCATGCCACTGGACTGGACTTTGGTTTGGCAACACCTGCCTCATCTGGCACATATGGCCCAATACCGTTCCTGGAACCAACAATGGACAGCGGACCTCTGTTTGCACCAAACAACAGTATGGTGCCCGCCACCTGAACTTGCCCGGCAACTCCTGACCTTCTTGCTCAACTCTTGGGTCGAATGTCCATTCACTACTTCAGCACTCCTCTTTGTGCCTCGAGTAGTTGAAGCTTCCTGGCGCCACATGTCCCGCTACATCGAAGAGATCGGCACCATCTACCCCCACCAAACGCAGCTACGCTTTCCACCTCTCCTTCCTATTCCAATTGTTGTTCTACACATTGCACCTCACACACTCTCGCTGACTCCATCAAGGTTGGACAAAACTCCCACTACCGCCCCCTCTTGGCATGCAGCCCAAGCCACACTTATGCGCCGGCTGCCTGACGGGATTCACCAAGAAAGCCATTGAGTTTCGCCTCCAATGCTCCTTTTCCACTTCAGGATTCGGGAAATTTCGGCCCTGCGGGACTTGCTACCACCGGGAATGTTTTCGGGCTGGGGTTCCTTTCACCACCCGCCGACTTCGAGGCGAGGGCCTGACATTCCCAAAGCAAGCAAACTGGCCGAATTTTGTGTGTGAAGCCTGTACGGTCCGTCAATACCTACAGCGAGAACTTGTCAAAGTTGATGATGTTATTTTGTTAATGTTGGAACGAGTCCGGCTCCTAGACATCATCTCGTCTTGGGCAAAGGGAACTC